CGAGAAACACTGGCATCATTACTTTATTCTGGTAATGTGGGCTGATCGCATCACAGTAAGAAAAAGGATGGGGTGTTCCCCATTCTTTGCGGTAACAGGCGCTCATCTGATCCTGCCATTAGATGTGTTAGAAGCTACTTGGCTGGTGGAGTACCCTGGACGAATCATAGAAGACTGGGAGCTCCACGGGCTAAGAGCTATTGCACTAGAGAAGCACGCGGATTGAGTTGCAAAAATGAGAAGAGACATGGATACCGCTAAATGAGAAATGACATTGAAATATGCTAAGATGAATGCCAACAAAATCAAGGAATTCAAGTTTAAGTGCGGCGATCTGGTACTGATGCGAAACAGTCAAATAGAGAGCTCACTAAACACAAAAATGAAACCTCGATATTTGGGACCTTTGGTAGTCGTACATCGCACCAAGGTTGGCAATTACATTTTAGCAGAGTTAGACGGGTCGATTCTACGTACTAAGGTCGCCACTTTCAGAGTAGTGCCCTACTTAGCCAGGAAATCAATTGATCTGGGTGAGGGGGTATTGAAGCTCATGGATATGACACATGCAGAGTTAGAAAACTTGATAGAATCGCCGGAACCTAAGGATAAGGTCCCAGCGAACTTCGCAGATGATTATCCAGAGACAGAGCATCTTAAAGTGTCAAAAGAGATCGACTTAGATATTTAAGTTTAGTGAGCTCGCTAAGAAGATGAGCAGAAAACGCCCTCTACAGGCCTGTGATTGCAAGTAGGAAGGATACAAAGTGTATAACTATGATATACACAAGAAAGAACAATATACTACACATAGAAACAGGAAGAGAGAGAAAATACGAGTAATAATGCGCCGTGAACCAGTTGCCATCTGCCGGGTTGGGACCAAAGATACAAACTGCGAACTAGAGCGCCGCTGGGTCCAAGCTCACTGAGGTAGAGGCAGCGGGGCCGCACTCAGCATCCGAAGAAGAGGGGCTCGCCGAAGCAGTCTCCTTGGGAGGAGCAGATAAAGCATCCTGAATCCCAGAGAGCTCGCTAAGGAGGAAGGCCCATTGTTTCTCAGCAGCGAAGATAGTGTGCTGGATAACAACCAGGTCCCCCATGACGGCGCTCTCAAGCCGGGCCAGGTGGTCCAGGGACTCGACACGGAGAGCACCCATGGACGACCCTTGCTGAGACGAGCGAAGAGCCTCGTTAAGGGTGTTGCTTCCGGCTTCACTGGCAGCTGAAAAACCCGGATCAGGAAAGGAATAAAGCGGTGAGAAGAAAAAGAGATGCACTGGTACTGATGAGACCGAGAACAGAGGCCGACTGACGTTTGCTGGACCCCTTAAAGGGGTAGTACTCCCTTGCAGACGGCAATGGGAAGGTGTGCTGAGAACGTTTGGACTCGCGATCGCTGTCCTTGTAGTACTGTTTGGCCAAAGAAGCCTAGGGAAATTGAAGATTAGTGAGAGAATTAGTGAGCTCACTAAAGATAACGACTCATGGCGCCTGGGGCAGTGCAGTCGAGGAGGGAATGATCGTTTCCGCCGCAATGGAAGCAGGCAGAAGGTTCCTCCTAGAATGGAAAGCTTTTAGTGTGGGGGATATCGAATATAAGCGAAATTACCCACCTTAGAAGGCTCCTTACGCTTCTCACCAGCCGAAGCTTCACTCGCCTTGCCCTTGGAGAACTTGGGAAGCTTGGCAGCGGCCGACTTGGAATTGTCGTCGTCAATGACCATCTTGAAAAGGCCATTAGTGAGCGCGCTTATAAGAGAACACGAGATCTAGAGAAACCGTACTTTAACAGAGTCTTCATCAGAATCAGAAGCTTCAGCTACCTTGTCATCACCATCGTCATCATCGGAATTGGTGTCGACGATGGCAGTAGACTTTTTAGCTGCACGGGACCTGCCCTTGCTGCAAGGAGCGGAGTTCGACTGGAAAGAAACAGTTAAATACGGATAGAAGCAGGAGAAATAGAGAACTCACTTCACGACGAGGACCCGTAGGGATAGGAGCAGCAGGAGAAGCCTCTACCGACTGACGCTCCATCTGCACCCAACCAGTGATGGTCTTGAGGACCTTGTGAATGGGTTGCTTGGAGGCGTTAGTATGAAACTTCTTCTCGATTGCGCTCCGGGCCTTGAAGATAGTCTTGTGGAACTCCTTGTCTGTGATGAGCTCCTCCTTGTGATGCTCGAGGTGATCCTGACAAAATCAGGTCAGAAACGTCGCAAAAATTAGTGAGCTCACTAAAACTTACAGTGTACTCCTGGAGCTGGCCCATTTTCTCAGCAGCAGTAATGCTAAGGTTCTGGCAGAGCTGAGTAATGATGGCCTTCACAGCGACAAAGGGCATAGCAGGAGCAGCAGTTGAAGACATAGTAAGAGATGAGGGTGTTTTGGCTGAAAAACGCAGAGAAAAGCACGAGTACTGTTTGAGAAAATGAGTGGTTGGGATGAAAATTGTCGGTAGACTGGCCTCGCTTTTATACCAGTACTCGCAGCAGCCACAGATGGAAAAATTAAAAATTTAATCCCAACAAATCACGACTTAGAGAGAACTTCACAACCTAGCAAAGCCCGAGCGAACAATGAAAATTGAAGTACAATGGGCTTTGATAGATTTGAAATGGGGTTGATAGGAGAAGTTTAGAGTCGGTCTTGAAGAGATTAGTGACTGAGGACAGTCAATGTCTTTTAGTGTGGGGGATATAGTGGTATACACAGTATACCTTTAATATTATGTGGAATTAGGACATAAATTTTCGATTCTACGAACAACACCAAAGAGATATTGGCACGCGAAAAAGCAGCCACTTAGGCGAAGATGTCAAATATTTGAAATAAGGATGGAAACAAGTCTGCAGAAACGGCGACTGACTGAAAGACCGGTGCCAAAGGGACAGGAATGAAAGACCGGTGCCAAAAGGGACAGGAATGAAAGAACAAACAAAGAGTTTTGGTATCCAGAAAACAAAACCCTAGATACAAGACAGATGACAGACGCTGAAAAAGACAGAGAAACCACACAAGCCTGAAGAAACTAGCGAGCTCGCTCGCCAAGACGCGAACAGATATGGCATCAATGCAAATCAGGGACTTAGAGTTCTGATGCAGGGCCACATAGGCGATGACATCACCAAATCACCACCTGATCGTCTTCCGTGGCAGTGGTGTAAGAGTGTAATTTCTTTACTTCAGGTCTTTTTACTCTATATCGGAAGTCTTGTCTGATCACTACAGGCGAGAATCGAATCGAATCTGTTCTAAGTCGAGCCAGGTTGCTCTACCAGCAGGATTCCTATGCCTATCCTACTACTGCCTTCTAAGATCGCACATGAGAATCAGGACAAAGAGCAGCAAGAAATTTTGGATAAAAAGCCTTAAGGGCTGCAAGAAGATAACAAAGAGACAAAAAGGAGATATTACAGGAGATACATAGAAAGTCCGCCCACAAGATATACTACAAGGATATCAATCACTGGAGCTGCTGCTACCACTGCTGCTAGCAGAAGAGCCGTTAGGATCTAAATCCGCCTCGGACTCGTCACCCTTGGTAGGAGACTTCGACTTAGAACCAGCCACAGAATGAGAGGACTCGCCAGGCTTTGGCAAATTAAGAGGACGACCGAGGGAGCGACGAATACCATCATCGATGACGAAGCTAGAGACTTCCTCGTAGGTGGAAGCCAGGCCTTCGATGATGGCATTACCGTTCTCATGGCCGGCAATCTGGTCGAGAGAATCCGCGAGCTGGTGAATCAGGCGGTCGTGCCTCAGGAAGTTGCGGCGCATGAGCACGTCGAGGTGCTCCAGGTCGTGGTTAAGTGCGCGGAGCTCCTTGAGATCAGACTCCATTGCTGTGGTGCCAAAAGTTAGTGAGCAGGCTAAAACGAGGAAAAATAAGAGAGAAATACTTACAACCGATGTTGTATCTCGTGTACTTGGCGAGCTTTGAAGATACCTTGTTCATTTCTTGAGCGGTGTACCTAGCAGAGCACCTGTCCATGGTGACTGCTGGTGCACTGGTCACAGGCAGCACCTGGGAACCGGTTCGTCCAGGTACAAGGGATGCCCCTAGTTGAACAGGGAACACAATCACCAGGAACCTGAAAAAGGAAAAGACAAGTCAGGAGAAGAAAGAGAAAATAGTGAGCTCACTCACATCGGGAGCCCGCGTGAAATAGGGGAAAGGATCTGAACACGCACCAAAGGTGCCGTTCTTGTCACCATACCGAACGGGCCTAGAAAGAAGGAAATAAGATGAGGCAGGACGGCAAGAAGGAGAAAGGAAGAACTTACTTGAAGAAGGTGGCCAGACCCTCACGGATATCATCGAAGGTCAGGACCTCGAGCTCTGCGCAGCTAGTGGAATGGTGGCCGACGACCACACCGGTATCAGCCCCAGGCTTGCTAAGCATGTAACGAGCGTCAGGCTTGCAACCTCGCTTCTTGGCCGGCTCCTTCGCGTGTAAGGCCTTCTTCTTCTTCTCCTTCTTGGCCTCGGAAACCCTACGCTTCTTTCTGGGAGGCACGTCGTCATCAGGGTCCGACCCTGACTCCTCAGGGAGCTTGACGAGGGAAGGAAGAATAGCTGCCTTGGTGGCAGCCGCACGTGAGCGTGTCAGAGGGACATGAGGAGGAGAAATCGCCGCCGGCGGAGTTGAAGGAGTAGCAGCCTGGGACTGCTTCTTGCTGCTTGGAGAGACGAGAAGGCCCAGCTACAGGCTCAGGACTAGGTGAAGCGACCGGACGACAAGCAGAAGAGGTACGAACAGTGCACAGAAGGAGGGGGGGAAGGGGCAGAGTCCTCGTCGCGAGGAGGAGTCACAGGAGGAATATTGGCCTTCTGGATGACCCCCTTCTTGCCCCTCCTCTTGGAAGAAGAAGCAGTGGCTTTGGCCTTCCCCTTGGCACGAGTGGTATGCTTGGGGATCTCAGTAACAGGGGATCCCATGTCAAAGTTGTGGTCGTTGACGAGGTCGCCGGAGACGGCGTTATAGATAAGCTCAGGGTGAAGGTACCCGGACTCCGTCGACAACAGGCGTGTCGTCGAAAGGATTGCCAACGTCGCCAAACGGAGGCGGAGGCGGAGGAGGAGACGTAGAAGGAGGACAATGTCCATCCTCCTCCTCAGAGCTAGGGAAGAATAATGGCTCTTGAGGCCGCGGAGTAGAGACGACCCCCCGGGAAGCAGGAGGAACGGGCGCTACAGAAAACTCCCCTTCTCCAACAACAGGGGGAAGGGGGGGCCTAGCCTGAGAATGGAGACGACGCCGAGGGGTACAACTTGAGGTCGCGATGCGCTGAGCAGTGCGTGTAGAGACTACGGAAAACTGAGGAAAGAACAATGAGTAACGGAGAAGAAAAACACAAAGAGAAATGAATTGCTCACACTCGGCGGAGGAAGCCTGGGATCTGGAGATAACGGCTGAGAACCAGGAGGGATCAATAGGGAGAAAGCGGGGGGTAGGTGGAAAGCTTACCCTCTGGGGTTGAGGCTGGCGTCTAGGACCAGGAGCTAGAAGAAAGAAGACTTAAGTTAGCGAGCTCACTAACTTAGGAGGAAACACTCAGCTACTTACTCGGCAGGGTAGGCGGCACGGGGAGACTAGCGGTACTAAAGGATGAACACGGTTAGAACTAGCAGAGAGGAGCTAGTAGAAGACTTACACGCAACGGTTGAGGTCGAGGAAGGTCGCAGCCGATGGCAAGGTATTGCCGGAAGTTAAGGACGGGTTCCTCAAAGTCTGCTGGAGATCTTGAAGAGAGGCCGCCACTTGGTGGCGACCGTGACGCACGGCGGGAGGCTGAAACCCAGAAAAAGGAGGAGGCTGAGTAGCCGGCCGTGGGGCCTGAGGAGCTAGAGCCTGGTAGGGTGGAGGTGCTGTCGTTGGTGGCCCCACAGGAGGCATGGAGAGCGGAGGATAGGCGGTAGCCAGGGTTAGCGTCTGCCCAGTAGAGAGCAGGGCTAAAATTCGAAGTGACTGGCGCCCGGGGCTGGGCACCACGGCAACGACGGGGCAGGGGAACTGGAGTCCCTCGCTCTGAAGCCAGCTCGTCGACGTCGTCTGGCAAGGGAGTCGGATACCAGAGGGAAAACCACACCCGGAAAGGCATCCTCGTCGATCAGTGGAGTTCGTAGCAAGGCTTCGGATTCGGGAACCTCCCGCTGCAGGAGGTAATAGACCAGGGGGAGCGGCGGTGAAGTCATGACAAAACCAGGTTGCCAGGGAAGGGCAACCTGACCTCCAGGCTAGTCAATACCTGTGAGACCAAACCGTGAGCCGGGTGAGGAGAGAGAAGAAGCGTAAACACCTACATGCGAAGAACGCATCTCCGTGGGGACGCGTGCTAGCACCTGATTCCAGTACCGGACCCTAAGCCTGGGAGGCAGGGTGTGGTGCCAGCACGTAAGGAATCCCCGGATACAAGCGCCAATACACGAGTTGATGAGGCCTTGGTGGCAGAGGAGACGCATGTTAGGCAGCTAGACCAGTTGAAATTGGTTAGAACGCAAAGAGGAAAGGGAGTACCGGGAGACATACCAGCAGGGTGTAGACCTTATGAAACATGTCAGAGATAATCTCCGGGGTGTGCTCCTCGCGGTGATTGTACACCGGCACGAAGAGGGCCGCCACCCGACAGTACGCGTAATAATACTCGCGTGGGTTGAAGCGAGCAAAGTACTGGTATCGCACGGGCTCCTCCGGAGACGGAGAAGGCTCAGGGATAGCGGCGACAGCTGGAGTCAGGTTGGACATGTTGAAAAGATTCCTGAAGCAAAGAGAAAAGTCAGCCAAAAGCAACAGCATGCGTTAGAACACGTACTGAGTGGATGGTGGTGACAGCGAGCACAGAGGATAAAAGACAGAGAGAGAGCTCACTAAAGAAGTGGGCGAAAAGAGTAGAAAGGTGGGAAAGCAAACTGGAGGGACTTAACTTTTATTTAGTGAGCTCTCCGGTCCCCGACCTTCTAATAAGAAAAGAAGCACTTGCATGAGAACTTCTATGAACATTGATGTACCCGGAACCTGTGCCTTCGAATTCGGAGCACATGGAAAGGAAAGAGAACATGCAGACCCACAACGCGATGACCGAGGACGGTCAGGACTTCAGTGGGGGGGATATGTTGCGACTGCAGCCTATTTACGCATGTAATTTTGCAATGTAGAGTGTTTTACACGCATACTGAGAAATAGTGAGCGAGCGGACTAAAACTACGCATCGACACTAATGCTACTGCGGTGCAATGATATGGAATATAACTTATGGCATAAGAAGCAACGGGATTCTAAACAGGACTTAGTCACAGCACTGTACCTGATGGGCATGCGTGATGAGAAGGCCAAACCCTATACCCAATGCCTTAGGCTCTAACTTACAAGCACACTCGCGGGAGCTAGATAAAACCTTGAAGATTGCACTGGCACCGAGAACACTTAGCGTGCTCGCTAACTGTGACGCGCCATACCTGAAAATCCGGGGAAATCCTTAAGCGAGCTGACAGATATCACCGGCATGAGCTTGGGCAATGGGCTTCGGCCGAAGTCTGCGAGCCCGCGTTCCATTGTTCTGAGTCCCATTGTTTGAAGACTCACTTGTTGCCATGTCTATGAGAAGCCTCTGTGAATCCAAGAAAGAAGGCCTGAACGACATATGCCAGAACTGATAGTTCCGTGCACCTAGACCTGTCGGTTGCTAGAGAACGAGCCCGCGGGTGTCGGGAGAGCACCTCTTGGCACGCGTTTAGCGAGCTCACTATAGAAATGAGACTAAAACTGGGAAGTCTGACTCGGATGCTCAGTAAGGCGGTGGTGGCAACGTGCTACACATGTAGGAGTCTGGGTACTGCGCGACGTTTGTAATTCTAATTCCCCTGTAGTATAAGTAGACTGGTTACAGTAGGTAGAGGCCAAGTTTCGAGCCCCCAAGTTCCCATGCACGCGTTGAAGGCGGTACTGTAACAAAGGATCAGTTTGTGACTTCGAGCTGTGCATAGAATTAGCGAGCTCACTCAGAGAAATACGAGATACCCTTTTGATAAGACTTTTGAGAACTTAGTCAGAGTGAATACGAATCAGTGACACTGTTTCTGTTCTGTTAAGTGTGATAAGTCTGTTCAGAGAATGTGTTGAAGTGGAAATCTGAGATCTGTTCTGTTCTGTTCTGTTCTGTTCTGTTTCAGTCTGTTCTGTGTCAGTTCTGTTCGAAGTTCCGTTTCTGAATCTGTTTTCCGAGCACTTCTGAAGTGTTCTTGAGTCGAGATAACCTGCGGGAGTTAGTTGGAGAACCCCTACATACAGTTGTGTAGCGAGCAGGCTAAGTCAGTGCTTGCCTGTGGTGTTCTTTTAGCGAGCTCACCTAAAGTTTCGGCGTGTATTGCCTCTGTTTCTGTTGGGATCAGTGTCCCTTGTGTATTATAACTCAAATCTGCCTTGAAGGTTGCGTCGCGCCAGTGAACGACCTTCCTGTAAAAAGTTCCTAGACTTAGGAATTCATTAGAGAAAGCTTAGCTTCGCTAAGAGTGCTGAGAATAAGAGAAACTCTTCGAGATATTGAAGTATAGTTGGATCGCATTAGGAATAATCGCTCCCCCTAGAACTTACGAGGGTGATTGTAGTTTGTGTAGTTGTGTGAGTGTGTGTGTGGGTTTTTGAGGTTCGCCTTTTAGCCCGCTCACTATTCCACAGGTGCCCACAGCCAGCCTCTTCACCGTTTGGCTTAGGAACCTCGTTTTCTCTTTTTGCATCCTGATTATGACTTTTGTGAGTACACTACATTCATTTGGACCATGTTGTCCACTCACCTTGTTTCCTTTGTGACAGGCAGTAGATCCATTGTGTATATTGCACCGGTCATCGTGAATACCACTTCTTCTATCATGCCCTCTCCTGCAGTCTTTCAGATGATCCTTCATGCACCCGCATCCTCATCTCTCTTGATGCTTGCCGATTTGATAATGCTGTGTTCCTAGTATGTCTCTTCAGTATGATTCTACCTTGCCATAATTGATTCTTACCTTCATAACCCGCGACAGGTGCAGTTTGTCTTTTGCTGTCCTCTCGTTTATGAGTGCTTCGATCGTGTCTCCTGCGCATGCCTACGTTAGTCATTTTCTCCAATCTGTTTCGATTGTTACTTACTCGCTTCGTCTCTGTCATAGAATCAATCCATCCTTTCGCAACAAACTGGTTGTGGATTTGGTACCCATTTGCCACTATATTTCTTTTCCTTCTATTACTTATCGCCCCGTTTTCTACTGACGTCTACCTCTGTCATGATGTTCATGTCCGATGGCACCAATGGTTGTCTTCCAGCTTGACTCTCATCAGGTTTTCGTTTCTTTTGTCCATTGTATCTCCTGTCATACCTCATGTTCATCTCCTACAGTGCTATCTGATCCTTGGTTTTACCTGCTTCCCTTGACTCTATGCATATATTGTGACATCCTTTTTCATGTTTTTGTTGTCTCTATTACCATGCTGGGTTGCCCATGCGCTCGTCCATGTGCTTCAATTCATTTGTTTCATGTATGTCATTATTAATTTGCTGTGTTATGTACGTTCTTTTCATTATATTTTTTTGCTTCTTTTGATTCTATGACAATCAGCATATTCTCCATGTGTGTCGCACAGTTCCCTTCGATTCTTTTGGATGTCTCATTCACTTGTCGTCATGGTATTTACCCCCAGGGGTGAAGGCTCAATTGACCTTTATGCCTTGATGCGTTCCATTGCCCTTCTCCCTTGACTCTCGTGATCCTCACTGGTGTAACCTTCCGTCCATGCATATCCCAATCCCACATCCATATGTTACAGTTTATTCATTTTTCTTCTCTTTTCTTTTCTTTTTGCTTACTGTTCTCGCTTATGCTCGAATGCATGATCATCGGATCCATTCTCACAGTACTATTTTTAGCCTACTCATCGTGTATTTAAGTAGAGCCTATGCTGGTCTAAACCCCAGCTTCAGCTAAGGTTTAATCTACCCAACTCAAAGCTCCGTGTTTCGCGACTATCTAAGTCCTTGATCGACTTCACAAATCTCCTTTGACCTCTAAGAGTATTGTCCACCGAAGTGTGAGTGGCGATCCTTAGTTGATCTAAGTTGATTAAGTTGGTTGTTGACATTTAGCCGAAGCTCGAATAAATGTTGCCCAGTGCCACATCAGAGAATGAACGCTGCCCAATGACCTTTTCAAAGAAATATCTCACCTGCCGTGTCGACCAGAGAGGTCATTGCTATATGCTCGAGAGGACAGTGCGTGACTGTCAACATATTACGAGTGGACCAATGGCCACACTGGCAATCCGATTCATTATTCAATTTGTCACCTTAGGGTGGATCATCATCTTGATCCTCTCCAGCACGACTGACCCAATAACCCTATAAGGCATCAAACCTAGATGCCCAAATCCGACTACAAAACTGACCTTTACCTCATCATTACCATCCTACTCGTCCTCGCTGCTTTGACAATCAAATCACTCGTATGCCACTTGCTGAACTGCTTCCGACTGTTGCAGTAGCTTTTGGATTACTAGCAGGAGCACTCCTTGCCATTGCCCTAAGGCAATTATATAGGTGTTGCATCCAATGTCAAAGGGCCAGACTACCATTTCATTACATCCCACATCTCTCACTCCCCTACCCAGTAATCCCATACCCAGCATATTCCAACTACACATGATGGACAACCCATCACACCCAGAGGAGAATCCTCAGATTCCAGAGGGTCTTCCCCAACACCCAGAGCATCATCTGTCGACATCACAGATGCAAGAACCCAAAGAGCCATCAATTTTGGAGATGGCCTGGTCTTCAACATCCCAGGACTGTCCACCCCCCCAGGAGTCATCGACCTCCCTTCCATTGGAAGAGAAGAAGGAAGGGATATGGTTGAGGACAAAGAAGGCGATGACGGCCTTACCGAGTTCAAAAGGATCCGGATCCAAGACCTCCTCAACGGCGTCCCGACAGAAGGGGATGACCTCTATTCTGGAAGTGAGGGGCATGGAGCAGAAGCAGACACGAGAAAGTACTTCCGTGGAGATGATCTTGCGGAAGACAGCGGAGAACTTGGCCTTGGGGCCTCCGCTGCAACTACCACCAGGTCCAGCTGCCTGCAATCCCCTATGATGGAAGAATTGCACCAGGTGGTGGAAGAGAGTGGCAGAGGATCCCTGTGGCATGGTACCCTGCAACAAGCTGGGTCTTTGCCTGGGAAGAAACTCCTGTGGCCGGAGTATCAGCCCAAACTGCAGGGCCTGAGGACACCCCCATCCCGAGGACCGTTGCCCTCCCCGATGAAACAGAGCAGCATATCTGGGACACCATTGAGTCATACAACCCAGAGACTCAGCCCGATCTATACGCTGGTACTGCTGGAGGATATACCTCCACCAACAAACTCCCCAGAGTCCCCGCTTTCACCCTGTCAGTCAGTGCCAAGAGCCTTTGTGGCCCCCGTCCCCTTCAATCAGCGACCCTGGACTGATGAGTACAACACACTCGTCGAGTCCAACTTCGACCTTCGAGCTGCCAGGCTCACCCCAGATGGAGCGGCCAGAGTGGACCGCAGAAGAATGGCAAGCACACATACCCGAAATGCAGAGGCCAGGGCCCTACAAGATGCCCTCGAATACCTCCCAATCGAGCCAGATGCCACCAACGACGAGGCATGTCAAAGGATTGGAATGGCAGAGCTTCGCCTCTGCCAAGCCCTATGAAGAACCAATGATGAGGGCATCTGATCTGACCT